GAAACACAGAAGGGTCAGGACAAATACACTGGAAAGAAGAAGATAGGAAGAGGTTGATTTGCAGGGAAAGTTTGGAGATAGAACTGCAGGTTTTCAGAACTTTCTAAAAGTTAAACATGTGTGCACACACATACACAGACACAATCTATCTGCTTACCCTTTATCACCCATGCATTGCCGTTTTCACTTCGCTTTTAAAAGTGAAAATGAAGATACAGATGGCCAGGAAACACATAAAAGATGCTCAACATCGCTAATTACTAGAGAAATGCAAATCAAAACCACGATGAGTTATCACCTCACACTAGTCAGAATGTCCATCATTTTAAAAAAGTCTACAAACAATAAATGCTGGAGAGGGTGTGCAGAAAAGGGAATCCTCCCACTGTTGGTGGGAATATAAATTGGTGCAGCCACTATGGAGAACAGTATGGAGATTCCCTAACAAACTAAAAATATATTTACCATATGATCCAGCAATCCCACTACTGGGCATATATCCAGAGAAAATCATAATTCAAAAAGATACATGCACCCCTATGCTCATAGAACCACTATTTACAATAGCCAAGACATGGAAACAATGTCCTAAATGTCCATCAACAGATGAACAGAGAGAAAAAAAAGGTGTGGTACATATATACAATGGAACATTACACAGCCATTAAAAAGAATGAAATAATGCCATTTGTAGCAACATGGATGGACCTGGAGATTATCATAGTAAGTGAAGTAAGTCAGACAAAGAAAGACAAATATACCATACCACTTATATACAGCATCTAAAAAAAATGATACAAATGAACTTATTTACAAATGAATTTATGTACAAAACAGAAACAGACTCACAGTTTTTGAGAATGGAACTCATGGTTACTAGTGGGGAAGGGTCAGGGGTAGGGATAGATTGGGAGTTTGGGAGTGACAGGTACATGTTATATTTAAAATAGATAACCAACAAGGATGTACAGTAGATAGCCCAAAGTGTGCTGCTCAATGCTGTAATAACACAAATAGGAAAAGAATTTGAAAAAGAATAGACATATGTATATGTATAACTGAATCACTTTGCCATACACCTGAAACTAACACAACATGGTCAATCAACTATACTCCAATAAAAAAATTTTTAAATTATTTTAAAAAGAGAAGTAAAAATGAAGAAAACAGAGGACTAGGCTATTTATGGGGTGAAAGGAATTGGGGCCGGGTCAGAGGTGGAGCTTCCTGTTTTGTTACAAACTCTAAACCAACGACCGTGGCTCCCTTCTCACCCTCTCCTTGGACGCATACCCTGCACTCCACTCCCTGCTTTTCTCCTCTTAGAAAAATCCCTGGTGTCGTGAGAAAAAGGAAAGAAAACACATATTACAAAATCTGTACAGTCCCATCTAATTTGCGTTTCTGAGTAACTACCATCATTCCTACATTCACTGCCCTCCTCCCACACCAGGACTTTCTAATTTTAGAGTTAAGAGCATGGAACTTGACACTGGATATGTTTCCATTTACCATGAAAGGCATGTTTCTCCACAAACAACTGGAGGGCAGGCTTGGAAAACAGGTTTAAAGACCAGACTTGTAGAATTTTGGCATGGCAATACTCTGGAAAGTCCACCAACCAGGCAAGAGGCAGGAAGCACTGAGAATGAATATGTTCCCTGGCTTCTTTCAAGTGAAATGATTCAATTTTAAGACTTTCAATTCATAAAATAGCCTCAGCTAATTTTCCAAGGAAAAATTAGCATATTTTGTTTTTCTTCATTTTTCAAAGAATATTTGGGCCATGAAAAAGAATTTATACTGACTTTCCTTAACAGACTTAATTGGGTACTGACCCCAGTGCTTTAGGAATGAATATAAAATAGTGAAAGAAGCAAGTTTACTAGGGAAAGAAACCTTGTTGTGATATAGAAATGAGAGATCAGTTCAGCCTTCATGATATTCACAAATAAAAATTAAACAAGAAGAAACTTGTCAGCTTGCTGTGGTCCATTTCTGTAATTTTGTAGATTTATAAATTTAAAAGTAGAAATAGCTTCTATTTCTACAGAAGGAAAGGCCAAGTCTTTGTGAAGCTAACATTTTTATAACTCCATGGATGTCTTTTTTACCTAAACTGTAGGTCAGTGCCTTTTATTTCCACTTAAATAGTCAAATTATCGATATTTTCCTTTAATTATCATTTTATAAGAGGAAGAGTCAGAAACCACTCAATGTAGTTTTAAACATGTCATTTTTTTCTTGTTTTTATTTTTTTATTGAAGGATAATTGCTTTATAGAATTTCATTGTTTTCTGTCAAACCTCAACATGAACCAGCCATAGGTATACACATATCCCCTCCCTCCCGAAACTCCCTCCCATCTCCCTTCCCATCCCACCCCTCTAGGTTGATACAGAGCACTGTTTGAGTTTCCTGAGCCACACAGCAAATTCCCATTGGCTGTCTATTTTTCATATGGTAATGTAAGTTTCCATGTTACTCTCAACATACATCTCACCCTCTCCTCCCCTCTCCTCATGTCCATAAGTCTATTCTCTATGTCTGTTTCTCCATTGTTGCCCTGTAAATAAATTATTCAGTACCATTTTTCTAGATTCTGTATATATACATTAAATATGATATTTATCTTTCTCTTTCTGACTTACTTCACTCGGTATAATAGGTTCTAGGTTCAACCCCTCATCAGAACTAACTCAAATGTCTTCCTTTTTATGGCTGAGTAATACTCCATTGTGTATATGTACCACATCTTTATCCATTCATCTGTCGACGGACATCTAGGTTGCTTTCATGTTCTAGCTACTGTAAATATTGCTGCAATCAACAATGGGACACATGTGTCGTCTTTTTCAATTTTGGTTTCCTTAGGGTATATGCCTAGGAGTGGGATTGCTGGGTTATATGGTGGTTTTATTCCTAGTTTTTTAAGGAATCTCCATACTGTCNCCATTCAGCCAGTCTGTGTCTTTTGCTTGGAGCATTTACTCCATTTACATTTAAAGTAATCATTGATGTATATGTTCCTATTGCCATTTTCTTAATTGTTCGGGATTGATTTTGTAGATCTGTTTTCTTCTCTTGTATTTCTTGACTATATGAGTCCCTTTAACTATATAAGTCCCTACTCAAGTCCTTTATTTGTTGTAAAGTTGGTTTGGTGGTACTGAATTCTCTTAACTTTTGCTTGTCTGAAAAGCTTTTTATTTCTCCATAAATTTTGAAAGAGATCCTTGCTGGGATCTTGGTTACAACCAATAATCTTGGTTGTAGGTTTTTTCCATTTCAGTACTTTAAATATATCTTGCCATTCCCTTCTGGCCTGCAGAGTTTCTGCTGAAAGATCAGCTGTTAAGAGTATGGGGTTTCCCTTTTATGTTACTTGTTGCTTCTCCCTTGCTGCTTTTAATATTCTTTCTTTGTGTTTAGTCTTTGTTAGCTTGATTAGTATGTGTTGCGGCATGTTTCTCTTTAGGCTATTCTGTATGGGACATTTTGTGCCTCTTGGAGTTGATTGACTATTTCCTTTTCCATGTTGGGGAAATTTTCAACTATAATCTTTTCAAAATTTTCTCATATCCTTTCTTTTTCTCCTCTTCTTCTGAGACACCTATAATTTGAATGTTGGTGCATTTGATATTGTCCCAGAAGTCTCTGAGACTACCTTCAGCACTTTTCATTATTTTTACTTTATTCTGCTCTTCAAAAGTTATTTCCACCATTTTATCTTCCAGCTCACTGATTCATTCTTCTGCTTCAGATATTCTGCTATTGATTCATTCTAGAGCATTTTTAATTTCAGTAATTGTTATTTGTCTCTGTATGGTTATTAATTCTTCTAGGTCTTTGTTAATTGATTCTTGCATTTTCTCCATCTTGTTTTCAAGGGTTTTGATCATCTTTACTATCATTATTCTGAATTCTTTCTCAGGTAGTTGACTTATTTACTCTTTTTTCATGTTTCTAGTTTGTTCTTTTATTGGTATAGTATTTCTCTGCCTTTTCATTATTTTTTTTTTAACTTATTGTGTTTGAGGTCTCCTTTTCCCAGGCTTCAAGGTTGAATTATTTCTTCCTTTTGGTTTCTGCCCTCCTAAGATTGGTCCAGTGATTTGTGTAAGCTTCATATAGGGTGAGATTTGTGCTGAATTTTTGTTTGTTTGTTTGTTTGTTTTTCTTCTGATGGGCAAGGCTGAGTAGGAGGGTAATCCTGTCTGCTGGTGATTGGGTTTGTATTTTCATTTTGTTTGTTGTTTAGATGAGGCGTCCTGCACAGGGTGCTACTGGTGGTTGGGTGATGCTTGCTCTTGTATTCAGGGGTTTCCTCTGTGTGAGTTCTCACTGTCTGATACTCCCCAGGGTTAATTCTCTGAGTCTAGGGTCTTTGAGTCAATGCTCCCACTCCAAAGGCTCAGGGCTTGATCTCTTATGTTTTGTAAACAATGATATTGCTGACTTTGGTAGCACTTGGCCTGCATGCCCAGTTGGCAATGGGCCACTTTTGTCTGTCTTAGTATATCAGTAGTCTTTGAAGACTCCTTGCTGCTGCTGCTGCTGCCCAGAGAGAATAAACACGTCTGCAGTCCCCACAGCTCCTGAGTCTTCTCGCAGCTTCTCTGGTCACGCCTTATCCACCCAGCGCACCGCTGCACGGCAGCCAAACCGTAGCTCCCTCCATCAGTGCTGGAAGGCAGGTGCTACACTGATGACACATGTCATTTTAAACAGGACTCCTACTTGTTCAGTGTCTATGTCACCTGCCGTGGCCCCACCACCACCACACCTATCCTCCCAGGAGGACAGCGCAGCGCCCAGTACACAGGCCCAGGTGTCTGACCTGCTTTTCTTTCCAGTCCAGAGCTGCCACAACCAACAAAGAGCGCTTTCTTCTCCTGTGACCAGCTCTTGGGCAAAGCACAGTCTCCCCAACTCCTCTCTTCTACCTCATCCCTCGAAACAAGCAAATCAGCAATCAGTTCCCCTTTTAAAGAACTTACTGCTAATTCCTCTGTGGAAATGGACGTCAGGCACTGAAAATGATGAGCAGGAAGAAGTTGGGGCATCTCCTCAGCTCTCCAAGGCTCTCCCTGATTGTAGCCTGATGTCCTCCTTCTTACATGGCGGCTGGCAGGAGCTTCTTCCAGTCGGTATTGGAGACTGAGAAAACCTGTAGAGATCGGAGGCAAAATTAAATTTGATCTAGCTTACCTGCTGGATGAACTGACCAACAGAATTCTTAGCTATTGTGTAGGTACCTACCCAGGATGGCAAACTCTGTGAACTCTCTACCCCATGTCCAAAGCAGACTTGGCTTAACAATCACGACTTCTTTCCTGGTGAGCCTGGATGCCGCCCAGAACGCTTCTTAACAAGGTGCTAGAGGCGACCACTAGAAACTCTTTGGATTAGGCCTGTGAGATGGACTTAGTTGTCATTTCTGTCCCACCCTGTCCCATATCCTGGGTACTCCGCTGTATCCACCTTGCAGGAAACCTCGGCTTCTTCTCCTCTTGTCTTAAGAACAAGAGAGAGGCATTAGCTTTCTTGGCCCTTTCCTCTACTGGGGTGTGTCAGGCCTCAGGTTTTTAACAAATCTCAACATTTACCCAATTAGTTTGTGCATATGAGTTAGTCAGGGACTAACAGCATGCCTATCAGAAATTTGAGACAGTGGTCTAAACGTGGGCGAAGGAGTTCTTATGTGTGGATGGGATGTTTTATTCAAGTTAATGGAGAGGCCAGTGGGCCACTTTCTGCTAGGTCCTCATCAGAAGGCCTGTGAGCCTGGGGCTGAGGCTCCTCAGAGGTATGGAGAGAGGGAGGAGGTGATTGAGGCAGTGGTTTCCTTCATGCTCGTGCCTTCCTCTGGGGCCTTTTATGAGGCACTTGGAAGAGTGCACACATCAACTCTGTTTTCACGCAGGTGAACGGCAGGGTTTGGGGAGCTTGGAGAGACTTCTTACGCCGCTTCCTCAGATGTGGGTCTTGTTAGCATTAATGTACTCTGACAAGCCTACCTTCTTACAACGGTATAAGTCATCTGAAGGCAGGGAGCTGTGGCTCTGGGGAGGAGAGCATTTCTCACGTGAACATGGAAATACAGGCGTCCTGTTCACCCAGGCGTGTGGTTGCAAGAGGACTCAGAAACGACCTCTCTTTCCCCGAACTGCCCCAGCTGCCGCTGTGGCAGAGGTTTGAACCACTGAAGCATTATTTGGGGGAAATGAAGTCACAACTGTAGGAGAGCGTCACAGATTGGACGGTGTGAGTCACACGTACGTCTCTCTGACCAGCCTCTGGAGTTGAAGCCCAGGGGGCGTGGCTGAATTATCAAGCATGTGTCTCATAACAGTGACTCAGGTTCACTGGACTGGCCACCTAGATGACATGATATTTCTGGAAACTTGGAGCTCCATCGCATAACATGAATTACTGCTATGAGCCAAACTCTATGCCTCACTTATATCATAAATCAGCTGGAATGAAGTTAAAAGTCACCACTCATTATGTAAACCTACATCCAGAACTGAGACGTGGTTTTGATTTAAGACATACCATAGTCCTGAGAAGAGTTCAGACCACTAAATACCAGGGATCTCTTGACTGTATCTGATTAAAGACAAATTGTGGGCTTCCGACTGTATATTAGGATCTGGAAAGGGGGCTTTGGACTGTTTTGTATTTCTGATAAGTATCTTCATGTTCAAACAGCTAAAAACATTTGCCATTTAAAATTTTCATGCAGCAAAATACACCACATACTGATTTCTGAGGCAATGGTTTAAGAATGAAAAAAACAAAAAACAAAACCTAAACTAAACACACTCCTCTCTTAAGGTAATGCCTGGGCCTGATTCTACATATTTGACATATTCCAAGTCTTTAATCCTTTTAACTTTTTAAAAATTCCCAGCAAAATATTTACTTAAATGCAAAATATCCTAAGGCTTAGGTTCCTGATTCTAGTATGAAAGAAAGTCCTTCTAGGTTCACTGCCATTTGCCAAGCAGCAATGATTGACACATGCTGTGACTAAAAAGGGCCTCATCTTCCCTGTTTCAGAGCATCAGCTCCCTCCCCCTCCTAAGCCCTTGGTTTTCTGCAGTGACTCACTATCCGTCTCCTCATAGGCCTCTCCCCTTCCTGCAAGTGAGCCTTTGAAATTCCCATTTTAAGGGGTAAAAATAGAAGGAAAAAAATTTAAAAAGAATTCTGCCAAGAGAAAGAGTTCTCTCAGTATATCTTTAACAGGAATACCTTAGCCTTCATTCTGAAGCTCTTGAGAACATAGAACCATTTCAGGGGAACTTTCTAAGCACTAGAAACCATGCCCTCTGCCATCTTGCCTTTCATTCCTAGACACTAGTGAGTCCTGACTGGCATCTTCCATCTCCCCAGGCCGCATTCTCTGGCTTTTCTATGTGCTTTCCTGCCAAATGGGTCCTGAGTCTCCAGTAAAGTTGGCTCCTTTTTCCATCCTGGTGTATAACAGAAAGAATGGGGAAAGAGAATTTATTGAAAATGAATCCCAATATAGTTCATTCTTGGACCTGGCACTGACTCCCTCTGTGGTATTGAGAAGTTCAGGGCCAGTGTCTCTGGTTTCACTTCCTCATATCACATGGGAGGGACCAGAAGACCTCCAAGGCCCCACCCATGTCTAGCAGGATAGAATCTACCCTCCCTCAGCAAGCCCTGGAATTGGCCTCCATGGAACTGACCACTCCTAGCTGGGGCCAAGTGGCTGGTTCTGCTCTGAGAATGTGGTGGGAGGGGCAGGGAGAGGGAAGCGCAGAATTACAGAAGTAGGTGGGGCAGTCAGCTAGTACTTTGCAAAAGGACAGATATAACAGTGAGGAGGGAGGAAAACAGATACCATAGGCTTCCCTGGTAGCTCATCTGGTAAAGAATCTGCCTGCAATGTAGGAGTCCCTGGTTTGATTCCTGGGCTAGGAAGATCCCATGGAGGAGGAGTAGGCTACCCATTTTAGTATGCTTGGGCTTCCCTGGAGGCTCAGATGGTAAAGAATCTGCCTGCAATGCAGGAGACCAGGGTTTGATCCTTGGGTTGGGAGGATTCCCAGGAGGAAGGTGTGGCAACCCACTCTAGTATTTTTGCCTGGAGAATTCCCATGGGTAGAGGAACCTGGTGGGCTACACCAGTCTACAATCAATGGGGTCGCAAAGAATTGGACATGACTAAGTGATATATATGCACACACTCTCATTATATGTGACATCTAAAATTACCAAACTCATAGGAACAGAGAACAGATTAGCAGTTGCTAAAGAGAAGGGTGTGGAGGTGGGGAAAATGGGTGAAGATGGTAAAAAGGTTTTTATAAACTTTCAGTTATAAGATGAGTAAATTCTAGGGATGTATTATACAGCATGGCGACTATAATTCACAATACTATATTGTATATTAGAAAGTTGATAAGAGTATATTCTGAAAGTTCTCATCACACACACAAAATGTAACTATGTGAGGTGGTAGATATGTTAACTAACCTTATTTTACAATATATACATATATCGAATCACTACCTTGTACACCTCAACCTTACATAATATTGTAAGCCAATTATATCTCAATAAAGCTGGGAAAAAAATAAGGACAGACAATGGGTGCATGGAAAGACGTTCAACATCATTAATCATCAGAGAAGTGCAAATCAAAACCACAAGGATATATCACCTGAGATTTGTTAGAATGACTGTCATCAAAAAGGACACATAACAAATGTTGGCGAGGATGTAGAAGAAAGAAAACCACTGTACATTGTTGGTGAGAAAGTTGGTGTAGCCTCTTTGGGAAACAATATTCAGATTCCTCAAAAAACTAAAATTAGACCTACCAGATGACCCAACAATTCCACTTCTGGTTATATATATCTGAAAGAAACAGAAGTACTAATTCAGAAAGCTACATGCACCCCAGTGTTCAGGGCAGCAGTATTTACAATAACCAAGATATGGACCTAGATATGGACCTAGATAGCATATTAAAAAGCAGAGACATTACTTTGCCAACCAAGGTCCATCTAGTCAAAGCTATGGTTTTTCCACTAGTCACATACGGATATTAGACTTGGACTATAAAGAAAGCTGAGTGCTGAAGAATTGATGCTTTTGAACTGTGGTGTGGGAGATGACTCTTGAGAGTCCCTTGGACTGCAAGGAGATCCAACCAGTCCATCCTAAAGGAGATCAGTCCTGGGTGTTCATTGGAAGGACTGATGCTGAAGCTGAAACTCCAATNAGGGGATACAGCCAGTATTTTATAGTAAATGTAAATGGAGTATGCGAGCTTAGTCACTTCAGTCGTGTCCAACTCTCTGCGACCCCATGGACCATGGCCAGCCAGGCTCCTCTGTCCATGGGATTCTCCATGCAAGAGTACTGAAGTGGGTTGCCATTTCCTTCTCCAAATGTAGTATAACCTTTAAATGGAGTGTAACCTTTAAAAATTGCAAATCACTGTCATACACCTGACACTTATAGAATACTGTAAATCAACCATACCTCAATTTTTAAGTATGTTATTTAAAAGAAGAAACTGAAAAAAACAATCAAGGATGAACATATATATGGGACTTCACAGTTCAGAGAAGCTTTCACTTACTTTATCTCATTATTATCTCATGAGCAGAATTTCTTAAACGTAAGAAGTAGGCCTCTCTGTTTAAAAAAACAAACCCTCAAGCTTCTTATCACTGATTTAAATTATTTCATTACGTTTCTTGACTATACCCAAACTAAATATAAGCTAGATATGAAATTTAATAAAAACGCCTTAAACTTTATGGCACTTAGGTAAGTGTCTGGTTTTGCTGAAACTATATTGCCAGCACCGATTAAATGGTAGATTTAGTACGGGTATGCGTTGGCTTCTGCACTTGGCCGTAGAAACACTATTGGCAGAGGATGCCTGTGCACTGGGTACATGGTGGGAAATAGCATTAATAACTGTGGAGCTTTTTTGCCACTTCAAGATCATCATTTTCATATTGAACCAAAGTTCTGCCAGGAGCGAGCCTTGAAAGCCGCCTCTAACTGTGGCCATTCAAGACCTCTGCCTCTTCCACTTAAAGGTTTGTGCCTTGCTGGCCAATTCTTGCTGCAAGCTGTTAGATAAAGACCAGTGTAGAGACACAGATGTGTGTGATGTGTCTGCATGCCTGTGAATGTGGGCTTTGGCGTCTGGCAGGCTTTTCCTCTCACATGCTCTGTGGAGGCCCAGGTCTCCCACCTCACTAGGGGTAATGCCTTCACAGCCGGCAGGCCCCAAAGAGCCAGGAGGCACTTGAGGCTTGGTGGTCACCCGAATGACCCAGAAGTGGCTCATGTAATTTGGGGGATCATCACTGCAGAACTCTCAGGGCTACACAGACCTGTTGAGAAGCAGTGGTCTGAGCTATAAAATGTCACACTGTTTTAAAGCCCTGCTCCTGCTTTTTGATAACTGTCATCTAATCCCAAGTCACCAAACCTCCCTGCATGTCAATTTTTTTCTCTGACAGATGGAAACATTAATAACACCTGCTCATCTAATCTTACAGGATTGCTGCAGTGTAGTGGTTCTCAAAGTGTGAGCCCCAGAACAGCCCACAAGCAGCACCTGGAAATAAAAAATGCAAATTCTTGGGTCCCACCCCAGAACTACAGAATTGGCACTTGTGGGTTGTGGGCAAGCAATTTGTGTTTGAACAAGCCCTCTAGGTAATTCTGATGCCCTCTAGAGTCTGCTAAAAAGAGAGGAGCTAATGAAGGCAAATAACATCTGCAAACTGCAATGCCTGTGCCCTCACTTTGAGAACCACAAGTCTCCAGAAAGGCTGGCGGCTGCTCTGCTACCCAGGCTCTCGTTAAAATACAAATAGCCCTCAGTATTTGTGTAACAGTTGTCAGTTGCTCCCAATAAGCATGGAAGGCAGTTAGCTGAGTATAACCCTTTCCAGGACAGGCTGAGGCTGAGTCTCCATGGAACACAGGGGCAGGGAGAAAGGAGACAGGGGTTTGGAGCTGCACAGATGGAACATATTCCAGCTCTGCCACTTACCAGCTACATAACCTTAGGCAAATTACTTAAAGGACATTCTAAGGCTGCCAATGACCTCCAAAGGGTTATTGAGATTAAATGACAACTATACATGCCAAGCACTCAGCTCAAGGCATGGCTCATACAGGAATTCAATATATGACACCTGTCTTAAGTAACAGGGTGTCCAGGCTGTCTGAGGTTCCCACCAGGACCAGTCCTCTCTCCCACACTGCTCAAGCTCCTTCCTACCATCCTGTCTCTTGTTATACTCATCATCACCACCCACACCCTCGCCCTTTCTTCCCGGGAGCCTCCTGACCTTAGACTTAAGACTGCCACCCAAAGTGTCCCAGAAAAGTTAACCACCAAGGAAGGAAAGGGGGCATCTCCTAGAATGGCATAGCTGCCTCCAAAAACAGGCCAGGCCGTGCTCTGAAACCTGAGAGATGGCAGGCAACCCACGGAGCAAGCCTTTCCTCTGCATCCATCCCCTTCTCTGACCTGGAGGTTGTGGCAGGTACAGCCTGAGGTGGGCAGAGTGGACAGGAGCCGACCCACAGCCTTTGTCCATTGGTAACCACTGGTTGACCCCATCCACCCAGGGTTTATCTCTCAGGTTTATCTCTCACCTACCTGCCCAGGTTCAGACCTCTGAGATGGGGCATATGAACTCAGCTCATCTTCTCTTGGATGACTCAGGGTCTGTTGGCTGAAAGCCGCTCTCAGTCCCCTCCCAAAAATGACAGGTCAGATGCCTTCCGGTTTAGTAAGGGCACTCCTTGAGGCAGCCTTTTGTCACCCATCCATAGTGGGAATTCTTTTGTGAGCAGAGAGCCACACCCTTCCCCAGAATGGGGGGTGGGGTGGGGTGGTCTTTCCAGGTGGCGCGGAAGCAGGGTTGATTTCACAATGGCCAGCCCACAGGTAAGCGACCAAGGGCAGGCCTGGCCCCAGCAGTCTGAATGGGATACGGCCTCCTGAACCTGCTTGGTCAGCCCTCCCCGGGCCTCCCTCCTGGGTGGCACCTGCTTGTGCTCCACCCAGAGGAACAGCTGGGGAGAGATGCTACAGCCAGCAGCGGAGGCAGAGGAATGATGGAAGAGTTGGGGTAACTGAGTGCTCGATGATACCTGGAAACCAAACAAAGCTGCAAACTGGCCAGGTGGTGCTGAGCCACTCCTGATTCACCCAGCTCTCCACCGAGAGCCCCGGAGAAGCCAGACCTCCATGCAGGGTCCCCCAGTTTACACACGTGCCCACGCAGTGTCTCACTTTTTTAAAACCTACCAGCCGCAGGAAAGTAATACGAACCTCATCTGCAGCTCAGGACGGTTAAGGACATGTCTGGGTTATATGAAGATAAAGGAAAGCATTTTGAACTCAATTCCATGAGGACCAACTCCAAAACCTGTCCATTTTCTACTAGGCCACTGGTTTTTAAACTTTTTTTGAAAAAAAATTTTGAACATTGAAAAAGAATATAAAATTCTATATTCCTTGCTATACTATCTTTGCAACTTTCTATAAGTATATAATTAATCCAAAATAAAAAGTTTTTAAAAACCTATGTGAGGCCTCAATGTGTAGAATGTATCAATGAGATAGTATCAGAAATCAAGAGCATGGCTCCCCTTTTGAGGGAAGCGCTGAAAAGGAGTACCTGGGGATGGAAATGTTCTGCTGCTGGAGCTGGACTGGTTCCACACGTGCACAGAGTCTGTAAAATCTCGTTGAGCTGCACATTCAGGATAGGTGCACTTTTCTATGTAAATGTTAAAAATCTTTAAAAGTTAAAAATGTATCGAAGTGGAGGTGCTCTGGTTGAATAGGAAGAGAGGGTGGGATTTGTTCAGCTTCTCCTGCCTTCCCCTCAACCCCCTGAACACCCCAGCATTCTGTGGAATTCGGGTTGGACTCTGGGTCCCGAGTCCTCCTCATGAGCTGCTGGGTCAGAGGACCACAGCTCTCCAGGGCTGGCTCTGAGCTGGTTGGCCCAGTGCTATTTCCCATTGTCGTTGTTGATGTTTAGTCACTGAGTCATGTCTGACTCTTTCTCGACCCCTTGAACTGTAGCCCACTAGGCTCCTCTATCCATGGGATTTCCCAGGCAAGAATACTGAAGTGGGTTAGCATTTCCTTCTCCAGGGGATCTTCCCGACCCAGGGATTGAACCATCATGTCCTGCATTGGCAGGCAGATTCTTTACCACTGAGCCACCAGGGAAGCCCTGGGAAGTGGACATGTCCATTCAAAGGCATGTGAAGAAGAGCACAATCCTGGATGTGGAGGAGACCCCAAAAGGATGTTGAGTGAGAAAGCAAACAGCAGGCTCTAGGTTTCCCACTTGGATAGGGCAGCCTTGCTCTGAAACTGTAACTTAGAAAGTTCCAAAGAAAACTGGGTTGTTGCAGTTGTTTTAAAAAGGCTTTATGCCTTGAAAGGAACTGGTTCAGACTTATAATCACAGGAGCTGAAAATAATGGCTATTCAATACATTCTGCAAATAAAAAGCACCTGACAACATAAAGCAAACAAGCAAACCTCCCTCATGATCTAAGTTGGCCCTGTACTTCAATTCCACTTGATTTGGCTTTTGTGACAATCTCTGGGTGGATGGTACACTTTTGATGGGCATGCTTCAGCAGGTTATTGTTCCCCCTCATGCTTGGAGGACATGGTTAACATTTGTTCCTTTAATCCACCAAGTTAATTTCCACTGTTACCTGCCCACTACTGTACCTGGAATCAGCAGTAGCTGCCAACACACAGCTAAGGGCAGAAGTTAGCCCAGTGTGAGGTTAATTGGACCAAATTGAAGCCATTACTGCTTAACAGATCTTCTCAGAAGTTTATGGGAGGAATGCTTAAGTGGGCTCCCCTGAGACTTTGGGAAGTTTGGGAAATGAACTTACTCTTGCTGCTGAATGTAGCAGGAGCTACATTCAAACAGTTTTTACGTGTCAAACAGTCACTGTCCAGACTACAGTGGGATGAAGCTGTTAGACAAGGAGAATCTTTTATGAGCTCCCATATCTAGAAAGGGCTACTCCCTGAGGGGATTAGGAAATGACAAAACAGTGACTAAGACTAATGACCCATCTGAGCAGGGGAGGGGAGGTGAGAAGAGGGGTGAGGCTTGCAGGTGTCAGGGTCTTCTACTTGGTGACAGGGCTTTTCTGGGAAGTTCTTTCCTGTTCAATAACTCCACTTCACTTCAAGGAAAATGGGGGTTTGTGTCACTGAATTTTCAGGTTCAGTGGAAAATTATTTTTTGGTACATCATTTGTCATTGGAGCACCTTATTTTCTGTGATTTCTGCCCAGAGCACTCTGTACTTGAGGACCCCTCCTCTGCAGAATAAAGGCAAGGAGGTTCCAGTTGGTCAAAGGGTAAGTAGCCAGTGGCAGCACACAGCTCTTGTTATAGAAGCCAGCCCAACAGAGACAGCCTTCATCAAAGGGCTCATCTAATAAGGAAGGTGATAGTGTGGTCCTTCTGTGCTTCCAGGACATCTGGCTTGTTGGTACAAGGCTTATTTCAACACTGACCCACTAGAATCTTCCCAGAAAAGAGCCCAGAGTGGTAACATGTCTGAGAGCTGGGTCAGTTACAGAGAAAGGGCATGCACAGCCCAGGGAATAGAAGACTTATCTGGGGTGGGGTAGTCCCTGGGGGAAGAGCTCTGACCTCAGAGTGATGGTTCTAATGAGGGATTGTTCAAAACCAAACTCCTAGATAGGGTTTCCCCATGCCCCAGTCACAGATCTAAACACTGCACATACCACAAATTCATTTAATGCTCATAACAGTCTTATGGGGGTACTAGCTCATAAGATCATCCTTCTTTTACAGATATAAAAACAAGTTAAGTAACTTGCCCAAAGTCACACAGCTATATATGATAAAATTGGAAATCTAATCCAGCTTTCTTACTAGACCAGGGTTTCTCAATCTTGGCACTATTGACATTTGGGGTTGGGTAATTCTTGTTGTGTGGGACTGTCCTGTACAATTATGTAGGATATTTCATAGCATCCCTGATCTCTGTCCACCAGAGCTAGTATCATCCCTGAGTCATGACAACCAAATGTCTCCAGACACTGCCAAATGCTTCTGGGAGGGCAAAATCCCCCAGTTAAGAACCACTAAGCAAGAGTCTTTGGGATGGGACAGCCTGTGTCTTGCTGGAGAGGGTGCCCCTGATGTCCCCCCCAGCTCAGTGTGCGGGCCACCAAGGACCTTTCCACCTCAAGACTTGAATGATGCCCATCTTAACAGAACAAAGTTCCACAAGGGACCTTGTATCTCCCTAGCGAAGTCCTGGCACTAGAGGCTAATTTGCAACATTCCAATAGTGATCTTTAACACTTAGTAATTTTACTGGCATCTGCCCCTGTGTCTCAAAAATGAAAGCCAAAGAGACACAGTTCCAATCCCTGGTCCAAGGAGAGTCTACATGTCATGGAGCAACTAAGCCCATGTACCACAACTACTGAGCCTCTGCTCTAGAGCTTGGGAGCCACAACTACTGAGCCCAAGGGTCCCAGAACCCCTGCTCCACAACAAGAGAAGCCACTGCAATGAGAAGCTCATGCGCCAACTAGAGAAAAGCCCGTGCAGCAACAAAGACCCAACATGGGCAAAAGTATATACTGAATTTTTTAAAAATGAAGGCCAGGAAGCAATTCTGACTCACTGGGACAAAGGCTGAGGAAAGGCCTAAATTTTACACAATAAAAAGGCGTAAATCCTTATAATAATCCTACTGGGGCAGATATTTTTTAACTTTTTATTTTTATTGGTGTAAAGCTGATTAACAATATTGTGATAGTTTTAGGTGAACAGGGGAATGACTCAGCCTTACACATACATGTATCCATTCTCCCTCAAACTCCCCTCCCATCCAGGCTGCCACATAACATTGAGCAGAGTTTCCTGTGCTATACAGTAGGTCCTATTGGTTATCCATTTTAAATACAGCAGTGTGTACATGTTGATGGGCTTCCCTGGTAGCCCAGCTGGGAAAGAATCTGCCTGCAATGCAAGGGCTGGATAATTCTTTAGTGTGGGGGACTGTCCTGTACAAGACAGGATATTTAACAGCATCCCTGACCTGCTTTCGATTCCGTGGTCGGGAAGATCCTCTGTAGAAGGGATAGGCTATCCACTCCAGTATTCTTGGCCTTCCCTGGTGGCTTAGATGGTAAAGAATCACCGGCAATGCAGGAGACCTGGCTTCAGTCCCTGGGCTGGGAAGATACCCTGAAGGATGGCATGGCAACCCACTTCAGTATTCTTGCCTGGAGAATCCCACCAACAGAGGAGCCTGGTGGACTACAGTCCATAGGGTTGCAATGAGTCAGACACGACCGAGAGACTAAGCCCACAGTACATGTCAATACTTCTATGCCCACTGTATAGAGAGAAAACTGAGGCTCAGACAGTTTGGTAACTTAGAGTCATAGCTGATAAGTAATGGAGCCATGATTTGTAGCCAGACATGTTGATACCAAAATCCAGACACCTTTTTAAGAGACACAGATTAGGACAATCAGAGAGAAGCTCAGACACTCGATGCTCACAGTCACAGACTGGGACAGGAAGAGCCTGAGCTGGAGGGCGGGGGTGGGGACAAGGGGCGGGAGACCTGTTGCCTCCACGGTCCTGGGAGAAAAGGTGGTGTCACAGGCTATTGTGACAGGGCCTGAGGCCAGAGTTGGGGAGCACAGTAACGACGCTCCGTGCTTGGCCCCCACCCCTTGTCCTGCTCAGGCCCTGATCGCTCTCTTGTGGGCCCACCAGACTCCTTAGCCTTCAGCATCTCGGTGGGTGGCCATGCCCTCCTCT